TACACACACACACACCTACACACACACACACACACACACCTACACACACACACACACACCTACACACACACACACACATACACACACACACACCTACACACACACACACACACACACATACACACACACACACACATGTTGCTGACTGAAGCGTCCCAGAAAGCTCAGGGTCGTGGCGAGGGTTTGGTGATCCACCTTGTTGGCGTGTTTGGCTGCTCCTCACCGGCAGTCAGCGTGCAGCATTTGAAGCATGCGCTGTTTTCCAAAGACTTCAACAAACGCAGCGTTTAGAGCCAGGTTACGTCACTGCGAGACTGCAGCTAAATTAAAGACAGAAACACACACACACAGCTCAGTCACATGGACGTGTGTTGAGTCTGTACTGCCGTGTGCCGAGTGGCCTGTAGGGGAGTCTGCACTGACAGTGGAACTGAAGCTCATGTGCATGCTGGCTGTCGAGTTATTCTACATAATATTCACAAATCAGGCTCTAAACGGGCTCCAGAATAAAGGAGGCACGTCTGATCCTGGATCAGTTTTTCTGAAGTGGTGTCAGTATTCTGCACACGTGTCCTGCTGGAGTAAACTGCACAACTGTTCCAGAATCAGTGGCTCTCCTCTGTTTCACCTGGAGAAATGCGGATCAGCTGTTGGTGCTGCGCTAGCCGGAGCGTCGGCCTTGGTCATGCTGTGTACATATATAGGGTACGATGTCATGATGGAGGGAGAAAAGAACCGGGTATCCTCATATTCTGGCGGGGTTAGTGCTGTCTGTGGCTGAGGGAAGTGTTCATCCCGTTCAGAAAATGGCGCAGTATCAGACTGAAAGCGCTGTCTGAAAGATTTCTGGACTCCTCCTGATTTTGCTCTGTTCTCTGCATCCCTCTTTTATTTCTCTCTTTTCTTGAAGCTTTTCTCTTCTTTCTCTCTCGTGTTGGCCGGAGGGAGTTTACCTTCATAGTCCTGGCAGCAGTCTGGGTAGTAAACCGCACTAATGCTGGCTCATAAACGAGCAGACCCAGGCTGTGTGGAGTGATTTGCTCAGATCCTCCTGTTCTCTCTCTGTTCTCCGCCCTGTCTCGTGTTGATAATCGCTGTTTGAGTCTGTGGTTCCTCTGGCGTGTCTTGACGTCATGCTGAAACAGCTCTCGGTGCACAAAAACAGATGGCTGAGCTTTTAGCAGGAAAGGAAACGCTGCCTCTCTGGTGCCTTGTTAGTTTTGGCTATTGAGTTGTAAAGTGCAGGTATGAATAAATCAGATATAGAGGTTTACCAGAAATGACTGTGTGGAGGAATGTGCTTTACACCCATGCATTTGTTTCCAGCTGCTAATCCTCTTCTCCTGTTTGATTCCAGAGCTTGTCCTTCCGGCCGGACTGAAGAAAACCATGACATCCTTCAGTTACAGCAGTTAAGAGAGAGAGAGAAACTTCACAGAGAGGATGGAGGAGCTGTATAAAGCTTCAGCAGAGGTGGACACAGCGGAGGACGCTCAGGATCTCTGCAGCACTGAGGAAACTGACTCACACACACTCACACTGGGGAAGCTGGAGGGCGAGGCGGCGGCTGTTACCACTGGTGAGCCCTGGCCCGCAGGTGCTCCACAAACCCCAAAGCGCTCGCTCTCGCCCCTGCTGACACTGCCGACCTCCGAGTCCCCCGCAGTGGCCCTGAAGCTGCTGCAGCCGCTCTGCCTCGGGGACGCTTCTGTGGTGCTACCCATCCTCACTGCCCCACCGGCTGCTCCGGGTGTCCCTGCGGCTCCGTACATGATGAGCGGTCAGGGGCCGGTGTCCATCCCACTGGTGCTGGAGCCACAGGTCCTTCAACATGCACTGCTCCAGCAGACGGCCGCATGTCCTGGGCTAGCCTTGCAGAGCAGTGTGCTGTGCCCAAACCCGTCCCTCAGCCTCGGTGCTCCGCCGGCACTGGACCAGAAGGGCCCGGGTGCAGGTCTGGACACAGGCCTACTGACTCTTCTTCAGAACCCCAGCTTTGCAGCAATCCTGCAGGACCTGTTCCCCGGGACCCCTGTGTCAGCTTGCCCCCCTCCGTCTCCCCCACAGATAGACCTGTCCTCCTCATTTCTCCCCCCGCAGCTGCCCTACAATACCCCGCTAGCCCCGTTGGTGCCGCCCGCCACCCTGCTTGTGCCCTATCCTGTGGTCATTCCTCTCCCGGTGCCATTGCCTATCCCGGTGCCCATCCCCATCCCTGTGTCCATCTCTAAAGCAGAGGCAGAGTCTCCCAAACCTGCCTGTACTCTGAGCAAGAGCACGCAGACACCCCCCAGTGACGGTGCCCTCTATCTGGACAGCAGGGACACAGCAGGAGTCCAGCAGCCTGTTCCTGTACCCTTGAACTCTGCAGATGTGGAAGTGCTGGACTTATCCACAAAACTGCCCCGACCCTCAGCACAGGCTCCTGCTCCTCAGGTGCTCCAACATGACAGCGTTCTGGATCTGTCATTGCCTAGTGTAAGAAAGACATGCATCCAATCCCGCAGCCCCTTCGGGCCCCTGAGCCCTGAGCGGGACAGGCTGTGCCACCTAGGGGAAGGTATTAGCACCGGAGCTCTGGCTCTCGGTGTCCTCAGGCCAGTGGACTGCACACCCAAGCTGGACAGCAAGTTGCTGAGCGGGCTAGCATCTCTGGAGTTCAGTAGGCAGCATAAGTGGGTGGTGGACAGCAGCGTGGCGGGGTCGGGTTCTGTGCACGACTCTGCACTCACAGCCGGTGGAAACATCGAGATCGTCAGCACCTCGCAGACTGCCAAAGTCATTGTGTCCGTCAAAGATGCCATGCCTGCTATTTTCTGCAGCAAGATAAAGGGATTATCCGGTGTTTCTACAAAGAATTTTTCCATCAAATGTGACGGCGGTCAGGGGGCCTTCGCCACACTACCCAGGGGCCCCGGGGACCCGCGCGGAGAACCCAGTGACACACTCAAGAAGATCTCTAAAAACAGAGGCATCAAACTGAAGAAAGTCAGCTCACAGGAGATTCATATACTGCCCATAAAGAAGCAGCGGCTGGCGGCCTTCATACCCAGGAAATAACACGGCGCTCAGGCTGCTTCGGGGAGGGTTGGGGAGTAGAGATGTGGGTAATGTGAAAAACAACAGTCAGAGAAATGTAACCAGGGTATGAAGATGCTAAACGCATTCCTGGATGAAATGAAGCCTAAAGTGTTTCTCCGTGTGATGTAGACGGATGCAGGCTGGTCTGACGCTGGCAGTCGAGTCCTTCATTATAAAGCAACAGACGAAGTCAACAGGACAGCGGTCCGAGTAGAAGAACCATCCGAACCGGCCAAACTGCACTACTACTGATATCCTCCAGCACCGGCAGCTCTAATCAGGCATATTTCCTCATCCTGTGCATTTTGATCTTGGTCACACATCCTCATGAATAATTCATCATGTTTAATCTGCATCCCCATTAATATGCATGAGATATGTTTTGAACCCTGGCCAGCTGTCAGCGAGACACAGGACAAGCCGTACAGCCAAACCTCCTGCTAACATGCCATCGCAGAATACTTGCTGTCCTCGAGCTGTTTACACGTGGACTGCGAGGCGTCTCCACTGTCTGACCTTTCGCTTTGCTAATCGCTGTATTACTGCGGCCTGCAGCCGAGCACTTCCATTGAGGATGCTGATTGGAGGAAACGGTTGTCAGTAGCAACAAAGCACAGTTTCCCTCATCGCTCCTCCAGACGCTCGCAGATTACAACTAAATAATCATCAGGACTTCATCCCAACCCACGACACATCTGAGTGCAATGGCGCATGAGTGCTGTGTGTATGGCCGTGGACTCGACACAGCATCCTTCAGGAGTCTGATTAATGAGAGAGTTCACACTACCATGAGCGTTTGCTGGTAATGTAGAGCAGTCTAGATGCAGCAGACTCAGCTCTTATTAGAGCGCTCAGTCACACGTTGCTATAAGGTTTAATTAGTTAATGTTAGTTAAAGCATTCGCTGACATGAACACAGAACAGTAGACTGATTACAGTCTTTATTCACGACTGTTAGCATTAGCTGATGGAGTCCAGCGTTAGTTCAGATTACCACATGTCAACAAGCATCAGCTCATATTTGAATGATGCAATAGCGAATGCTGAGCGAGCGTTAATAACTGCTGTATGAGTAATGATGATCATCAGTTCATCTTAGTAAACATATGAACTGACATTAACTGATGACGCCTGATAGTCCAGTGTGACGAGTGCTGGAGCAGAGCAGAGGTGTTTACAGCACACCGAGCTCTGATGAAGACCTGAGCTGAACATCTCACACTCCTCATCATCAGAAGACGCCTGCGCTCATTCTTCAAGGAGACTGACAGCAGGTTTGATTTGGGCTGATCTATCGGAGTCTGCTGTTCTTGATGCCTCAGACGGTGTTAGAGAGCAGAAACTCATTTAAATGTGTCGTGATGATGAGGACAGTGAACATGCAGCTCTCCAGGCACAACCTGACCTTCACACACAGCCAAAACATCTTTCCAGGAGTGTGTGTGTGTGTGTGCATGTGTGTGTGTGTGTGTGTGTGTTTCTTCATGTGTTTTGGGTGTCATGGATAATGTTGTGTGTGTGTGTGTGTGTGTGTGTGTGTGTGTGTGTGTGTGTAGGGGGGTCTCCACCTGTTGGCTTGATGAATGCTCTGCTGCTGTAATGATCAGTGTGTTTGTGTACAGTATTTATTAATGTTAATGTTGACGAACAGCAGCTCAGTTTAGAGCGACAGCAGGAAATCATCCTCATCATCATCATCCTCTCTGCAGATTTCTGACATTATTTATAATATAAAGGCAGGAATATGAGCAGAACAGGCCTGTAGAGATGATGTGAACATGAAGAGTCATCAACACAGCAGCACTTCATTATTGATGATCTGGACTGAGCAGAGCAGCCCGATGAGATCAGAACACACACAACCGCACACACACACACTCACTCAGCTCCAT